CCCCCCCCCCCCCCGGAGGGTTTAGCGCGGATGTGCCACGCGCTAAGTTACTATTTCGCTAAACTTGCGATATCGACGAACTCAAGACAAAATAGAGGGTCTATGGAAGAACTGATATCAAATGAATTGTTGGGCAATCATTGAAGAGAATTTTAAAAAACAAGATTGTTGATCACGCCGACACAAAACGTATAATAAGCAACAGCTACATGTATTTTTATGTCTCGTTTTGTCTTCAAGGTATTTTGACAGAGATGTACAGTGTATTAGGGACTTTTTTCTTCGGCGATTTTCTTATGAGAGTGAACTCTATCCTCGGTTTGCAGATGTAAAGTGAGTATGATTAAACAACTGTGGATGTAGCCGTGATGAAACAGTGGGTCAATTTTAGGCAGTTTTAGCACTGACCAACTAGGATAACAATATGTAATGGATTAAAACTGTAGAAGAACTCAAACGAAACGTAGAAAAGCCTAAAAGAGGTGTGCATGGGCAAAATTGGAGAAGATGAAAACGTGGCGATTCAATAGCTAACATGTGTAAATTGAATTGATCGGCATCTTATTTATTTATTTATTTATTTATTTATTTATTTATTTATTTATTTATTTATTTTCACTGCTAGTTAGTAACATGTAAAGGCCCTATGTTTTCTCTGGTTACCACAGAAGCCATTTAAAAATTATTATAGTTTAGCTGCCAGAACAGATTTAAGCTACTAACGATACACTGTTTCAGTGCTGGCGTCGAAAACAAGCTGTAAGACCTTAGACCGTATTTTCTTTCCGTTATCAGTCTCAAAGCGTTTTTTTTTTTTTTTTTGCTTACTTATATCTGTATTTCCTGTACAAAGGCTCATATTTATTTTCCAATAGACGGCTTCACAACTTGGATGTCGAAGTTGCGGCCAGCGGTTTCACAAGGGACATGTCGGACTCATTCGATGAGGTACATATTTGGAACATGCACGTACACTAACCTAGAACAGGAGGAGAGGGGAGGGGAGGGAAGGGGAGACTGTCACCTTGCAAGGTGACTTCTGAGGGTGTAATGCTAGCTTGGCGTTGAGCTCTTAAAGAAGTACCTTCCTCGTGCTATAAACGATGCATCGATTGAATCAAGCTATTAAAATAAATACCGTTCTTACAAAGTTGTTTTGGACTTGTTTCTCGTTGTTAGTTAAGATATGTGAAATAATACGCATATTCACTACGGGAAAAATCTACGAAGGAATACATTTTTTGCGACTAACTCAAGGATTACGAACATTCCTTGATTTCAGTCAAGCACAGAAGCTTATTGCTTACGTTTTTCTCGAGAGAATGTTGTATACCGTGGGTTGCAAGCTTCTCCACGCGGAGAATAAACGGGTCTTCGGNGGGGGGATATTTTTTACCCTTCCCTATCTAATCCCTGTGCCTGGGCGGAGACTAGGGGTGTGTGAAAGGAGGATCGATTGCATTTGTGCATGTGTTATTTGTGGCAGGCTGCAGCTGACTTTAAGGCTTCAGCAGATAGCAGCAAAGATCATGATGACGATGAAGAAACAGATCAGTCACAGGCTCCGGAAATGAAACAAGACGACAGTGAAGAAGAAGACGGGCACGACGGTAAGTGTACGAATAATTACGTCTTGTCGCCTCACACTGCAGTAACAGCCCTTTACGAGACATTAGTTTTGGCGACAGTTACATTATTTAGGTGTTGGTAGTTGCGAGTCCATGTAAACGAACGATGAAATTTCAATGAAGCGCCAGAGGTTTGCCGTTTTCTTTGATCCACTTCAGCACGTATGAAATACAACAAATTCACTTTAGAAAATGATTGTAAATCTTAAATAACTTCACTCGTGGCAGATCATAGAACTTACGCATTTGAAGACTCGCTCGTTCTTTCAGGACATTACTGGTTAACTATTAGATTATGAGCTCGAGATTTCTATCGCGTGATAGTTGACGAGGTGCAGCCCGAGTCAACTATCACGCACAGAAATCGAGAGCGAATAATCTAATTGTTGTAGTATAAATCTACTAGTCGTGCAAAACTTTCCCCAAGTCCTCGTCACATGCACTACGAAAACTTAAAGAAGCGGCCGCCATTTGTGTTAACAACCGTACAATGCTGGGCTACTCAATGTCTACAACAGAATTGATAGTGAGTAGCGTAGCCAGTTAGAGAACGACATTCGTGATAGAAGGCTAGTAGATTTATACTTGAATGGAATCGAGTGCTTGCTACAAACAGAAGTAATTTCCAGGTGAATTCTGTTGTGTTAAGATCTACCTTAAATTTATGAGAATGACAATAGACGCTTACATTTCATTTTCACAAGATAACCCAGAGGAAACCCACAGTCCAGTGCGCGACCTCTCAGATGAACAACAACATATAGAGGAAGAGATGGAGGGTAGTGAAAACAACCCTGATCAGCAACCGAGCGAGGACTGGGACCTGGAAGAACTAAGCAATCAAAATAAACTTCACAGGCCTTATCGTGACACAAAGAGTTGTGTGACCGGAAAGAACGTGGAGGATGACGTTACTAGTCAATCAAGCTCTGTGACTACGTCATCAATAGACTCGCGAGAGATTAGAACTAGAGTGAAAAAGAGTTTGGATAAGAAGCAAAGAGACATGCGCAGGAGAAAGCGAGGTGAAGCGTCTGCCGTGACGCGGTCAAGGCGGGAAAACAGAGACGCTGTGAAGCACGGCGCGCAGTCTTGGCACGACGGTTGGTGATTGGCGGAGACACTGAAAAGTTGCTTTGGCTTCGCGTTTGCTAAGATCTTCAGGGTGCTTTTTGCCTCCATTGACGAATTCATGGTTTGGGAAAGACAAAAAGAAACGAGATAATCTAAGTACATTGAGCTGGAAAGTTTAAAATACTTCTCAAATGATACAGTTTACATTTGCAACATTCGCAACCGTTTCATGTGGCAAATTTCGCCACATTGCTCTTGACATATACAATGTGTTCCTACCGCATAAATTTGCCACGTAGTATACTTGGCACAAACAATATCAATTTGTAATATACTTTTCAAATATTCAAACACTAATCTGGTGGAGTCAATTTGACTTTCTACAGATTTATAATCTTGATAGATCTGGAACGTTCGACTTAAACAACTATCCATCTGTTTTGGATCGATTCTATTGATGTCATTTTTCCTTAACTCCCAGTAGTAACCTCAGTTATCTTTTATTTTTAACGAGTGAAAGCGTAGCTACAGGGAGTTATAGCAGTTAGCTGGGGAAGAAATAATCCACTCGCTCGTTCAGTCGATGGGTTATAAACCTTTTTTGGTGATAATTCTGCTGACCTGGGTATTTCGCGAGAGGGGCGACGTTTACTTGACCATTGTGAACAGTTTCTTTTTATTTACTTATTTTGCAAACAAAACTGTCATCCTGAAAAAGAGAAATAAACGCCGTGTCGTTATGTTAAAACGCGTTACAGGAAATGCTTCCTTAAGAAAAAAACCCGCTACCTAAAGACAAATTTTAATGTTCGGGGCAACCAAGATGGCCGCCGCTTTTCAGTCTTAAAATGTAAAAGCATCAGCACAAACAAGCATCGTTCGAACTTTATTAAATATCACGTGTGAGGCTCTGTCCCATACCCTACACAGTCAATATTTACATTGGCAAAATTGCATGAACCCTTCAAATAAATAGCCCTATCAAACAAGGACTCTACCTCGTTTCCACGGTCTAACGAGAGACCCTGGGAACAAGATTGAATGAAACCCAGTACCAAAAAAATATCCATTTCCACACTTTACTTCTCTCGTGATTTTGTACTAGATTGTCCCCAATATTGCCTTGATCGCATCCACGTTGAATTTTTAGCTGTGAAAAGGCAGATTAATGCTGTGTGGCAACATAATCATTTTAAGAACAGAAAACTAAGAGTTGGAAATATATTAATTATGAAAACTTTGCAATTCTNCCTATCAAACAAGGACTCTACCTCGTTTCCACGGTCTAACGAGAGACCTTGGGAACAAGATTGAGTAAAACCCAGTACCAAAAAAAAATATCCCTTTCCACGGTTTACTTCTCTCGTGATTTTGTAATAGATTGTCCCCAATATTGCCTTGATCGCATCCACGTTGAATCTTTAACCGTGAAAAGGCAGATTAACGCTGTGTGGCAACATCACAATCATTTTAAGAGCAGAAAACTTTAAGAGTTGGAAATATATTAATTATGAAAACTTTGCAATTCTCTTTTTTTTTTTTTGTCTATAAACTATACAAAAAATCTGCAACCTCTGACAGTAATTTTAAAACTTGTGGGGATTTTAAAAAAGATAAAAACATTGCAGGCATAGAAAAGAAATTCGCATTCAATTTTGACAATGTTTCACTCATCTTTCCAGCTGTTACTGGGAGACGGTCATGCAAACACTCGTAACGATAAGAAACGTTGCGTGACAGCCCAGATAACGGCTGCAAAGGAAATTGCTTTGTCGGTTGACAGTAAATTTAAAAAAGGTTTTGGGTAGGTTCAGTAACGTAACCATAGTACCATTGAGATAATTTTTGATTCAGAATTATCCCTTCAGCGTCAAACAGTTTACAGAAACAACCCTGAAAAGTTTTCGTTCAAATCACTGAGCATGTCAGGCGAGCAGACATCCGCTGGTCACTGGTAATGAGTTGACATGATACCCTTTCTTTCTGACACCCAATCAGGAGCTATGATGAAATAGCCTCGATTCCTAGAGTTGGTGTTGGTGAAAAATGAGTTATCGTGCACGTAGTCGTAGTCTTGATAAGCTGGGTTGTGCGTTGGGTCAATACGGGGACGTAACAGGTGACTAAGAGTTGCCTCACCCAAACCATGAGATCCATACCTGAGACACGAAAAGAAATCCGTTATCATCTAACAATTGAGGTCGATTGTCGCGCGCGCTGAAAAAAGATCAGGTGCACTGAGGCCAAGTGGATTTCAACACGACGCAAAAATTCACGTACTTTGGACACTATTGAAAACAGACTTTCCGGGATAATTCAAATGATGGTAGCTTTGGGGAGGGCGCTGATATTAGGAACGGAGCGCTCATCCTTTTCTGTTTTCGACATAAACATCGTAAGGTGATAAAACACTAAATAAACACCAACAGAGATTGGAACTCAATAACTTACGGTAGGAGTTCGCTCAGTCATACCACCTGTGCTGTTTATAAATTCTAAGTCAGTCTGTTCAATGTTACGTCCCGATGAGATAGAACACTCAGTACATAATCCGTGATTATAATCACATAAATATGTCCGACAAGCCAGTTTTTTGGGGGGCATTTTTTGGAAGAGGGCACTTACTAAAATGGGGCGCTTATTGAAAAGGTACATACTCAATTGGGACCGCCAGAAGCCCATAGGAAGTGCCTAAAAGAGTGGGGTCCCTTATTGGAGGGGACTGAATGGGATAATTACGGTAACAGAAAATATCATCAACGTATATAACTTACTTGTTGAGGTGTTCCAGTAATCTTTTCACTCTTAAATAATCACAAAATTCACATTTGCCCTCCGTGTGATTAAAGTGATGCGAGTGCACATGCTCAGTAACTTGATTCTCAGTTGCCTCGCCAACTTTATCTTCATCTCTGAAGAAGAGTGAAAAAAGCGAAATTAACCGGTGATTTGAAAACTACCCAACCTTGTCATCTCTTCCCGCCCTACTGGAACGAGAGAAGGGCAGAAAGATGAGAGACCTTGGAACGAGGGTGAAAATTATCTTAATCGAAAATCTTACTCGTCCCAAGGCATCAGCGGTTTTTCTCCCGAGGGACGACTGGGTGCGAATCCGAGTCGAATGTAGTAAAACGTGAATTGTTGAATGCCGTCCTAAACTATGACTTGGTTCTTAACTCTTTTTTCTAAAACACGGAGTGACCACAAATACTGCTACTCGCAGAACCGCGAAACCACTCATTTAAAAGCAATGCATTGTACCAAGAGATTATGATCAGATTATAATCTCTTGATTCTTCCTACCTTATTGACCCAACAGACTTTGGACGCGGCGGGAGCGATGGTCGCTCCGTGGTCCTTTGCGAGCGTGCGCTCTTAGCACGTTGCTGGTAATACAGTTCTTTTGAAAACTGAGGTCTCAATGTTTTCTTCTCTTCGGGTCTCGGTGCTGCGGGCCTTGTCGGTACAGGACTCGAATTTGCCTTTGATAGCGTATCCATGAAGTTGTATACCACTGCTTTTTCTGCAAAGAAGTATGCGAATGAGAATTAACCAAGTCTACTTCACGGCTGTTAAATCGGTTGTCACGGAACGTTTCTCCCCACAAAGGGAAGAAGCGTTGTGTGCCTGACTCAAATAAGGGTTCTATTAGGTCAGTTAATAAATGTTTCACGTTATCATTTAGTCTCGTACCCAGATCCCACGACCCCCTAGACCGGCGGTAGGGAAACGACCGCTGATGTAGGGGAACGCGGGTTCTGGGCACTAGATGGTTGCCTCTGAAAAACATAACATTTTCTTGCATGAATGAGAACTTACCATATTCATTTGAAGATCTTAGCCAGTTATTTACACCAGGCAGAACTGGAGGCTTCTTCCTGGTCTGAAAGAAACAACGCAAAAAAAGAAAAAATCATTTATCGTCAAAACTGACTTTTGCTGCTACGTAGTTAGAATGTCGACAGTTAAGTCTTTATGACAGAGTACATGAAAGAACTAGTGAGCTAAATTACAAACGCTTTAAATCGAGGAAGAGGTCAAGTTTATTCCCCCACGGCAAATCTTTTATAACCATTTATGACAGTAAAGAAGGTTTTTTTCTCTCATTCTCCCGTAGATCTGTCGCGTTTACTTGTCCCTCGACGGAAACTTGACTTGCGGGGAAGAACCGCTCGCGTATTTAAAGTGACTTGGGCAAATGTATTTCTCACCTCTTGTCTTGCAGGCCTGTTATGGAGCTCAATCTTTTGTCCGGCCAGACCATAAAGGCGATCTGACAAAAGAAAAGAAGTACAGTTGTTGCTGTAAATCCGATTGAGCGCTTTCATGCGTTGTCTATTGATGGTTCAAAAACAACCTAGATATAAGTAACCTAACCAATTTAAACAATCGCCGGGGCTGCAAACAAAGTA